AAAAAAACCAGCTTTTAACGCAAAAAAACTTTAAGCAAAAAAATACGATTAGAGCAAATATTTTTAGAACGTTGTGTTTTTATAGTTTTTTTTATAAAATTAGGCGACATTTTTTATATAAAGTAACAACTTACTATTAACGAATGTTTAATAAGGAACAAATGTTTTTTAATTTATCAACGAGTATATAATTTTTATTTATATACTTATGTCTTATTTCCAGTGCTGGATTGAGGAGCTGGGGGAGAGGGGGATGGGGTAGAAGAACTATAGCCCCAGAACTCACAATGTTAGAGGCCACAAAATAGTCAAAAGGACCATTCGGTATTTTTTTTAGTCATTTTTACGCTATGGCACATAATAAATGCCACTAAAATAATGCAGCCCGCGGCGCTGAAAAGTCCAACAAGATTCAACCAGTAAAACTAACTCTAGATGATTTATTTATAAATAACATTTTTTTAATAACTGTTTTATGCTTCGCGTAGTTTGAAAAGTTTAACACATTTGAAACTGTTCTTTTTAGTAAGATGAACAAATGAAATAATCAAATCATTGAGTTACTGTAGAAATTCAATTAACAAAATAGAAATTAACTAAAAACGTTAAATTACTTAGTTAGGAGGAAGCGGAACAGCTTCACATTACCACTGATAATGTTTAGTGAGTGGGCTTTATAATTTTAATTAGTATTTAAAACAGAAAAGAGTCAAGTATAGCAAGTTTGTAAGAATGGCTGAAGCAAAAATAATTGAAGTTAGTTAACCAATTTCTAAGAACTTAAGAACATATCTTTCTAAGAACTTAAAAACATAAATTTAAAACATTTATTTTTGCAAACAATTAATGTTAGTTTAAAACATTTATAGCTTTGTAGATTTGGCTTCGAGAATGACATAGTATTAATATAAAAGTTCGTTTGATAGTATATTGTTAAAGCAATTAATGCCAGAAATCTCAACGAAAACATAACAAAACTCAAATAATACAACTTTTTAAAATAATTCAACAGAATACTCTAGAACATTTGGTTAGTATTTTTTTAATACTCTAGAAATTTCCGCTAGTATTTTTTGAACCAATAAAATTAGTTGTTAGTAGATTTGGCGGGTTTTTTGTGTTCGCGAACATTCTATTTTTATTTTTCCACACAAAGTTTGAGAACATTTGAGTTTATGTATGTTTCCTTGTAAGTTCAAAATATTCTAAGATTTACGATAACTTTATAATTATTTTGCGAACAAACAAAAAAACATGCTTGAACTTAAATGTTCTCAAAACGACTAAAAAATCTGGCCGATTTTTCCAAATAAATATTATTTCCGTGGTCAGTTATTGAGTGCGATTGCACCCGCTTCCCGACCAAGCCTGATTACGTGGTATTTATCTAAAGTGATATTGGGATTTAGTGAACAGATTAATTGTTTAATTTAATAATTAAATATTATTATAAATAATTAAGAATAAAATAAATAAAATGAGTAAGCAAAAAAGTCTTGATAAATGTCAAAAAAAAGAAAAAGAAAATCTGGAGGAGCTTGTCGCATAAAAGCAGAAGAAAAAAGAAAGAAAAAAGGAGATGAAATCATTTCCAAATTACCAAAAATGATAAACTTTTTCTCTCTTTTTCAACCAAAAGATATAAATCGTTTTTAATTATTAAATTAATAAAAGGCAAATAAATCTGTTTTTAAATTTTCAAAGGAAAAATATCGCTATTTATGCAAATAGGTCCATTCTCCAGTTCTTAATAAAACTCAAAATAAAATGTACCAAATCGTCCTTTAGTGAACATGAGCAGACAATAGAGCACTTTCATGTCATTGTCACATTTTCATCTCGGAAAAAGCAGTCAAGGGAAGGATAGATTTAAAGTTTACCAAGCAATAACAGACTGAAAAAGAGTATTGGACCCAAGCTCTACGAAGAACAATGTAAATTATCAAGCATCTCTCTTCTAGGTTTGTGTGTAATATATAGAAAATTTAAATACATAAATTTAAATTAATAGTTATAAATATTTTAATTGAATCACATTTATCATGTGATATCATTAAATAATTGAATCACATTTATCACGTAATAATGCTGCTTAAATATTTTTCAAAATTGAAAATAATTGGATATTTTATTTATTGTTCATTTGAAGAGGATTATCATTCCGCAAATCAGATAAAAAACTAGTATCAATACCCAACGGAAACTTTATTGGATGTATTGAGCTATTAGCAGTTTGATCAAGTTTGATCCTTTCCTCGTCCAACACTTGATTATTCATGGAAATAAAGGAAAGAGAAGTACTTTGTATTAAAGACATTTAAAGACATTTGCGAAGAACTCATACACTTGATAGCCGCCTAGGTTTTGAAACTTATAGATAATATGATCATCCTTAAGTAACTAGTTATAGTATACATATGTAGTATACAATATTTTTCAACCATCGTTAATTCTACTCCCGATAAGTGGCACATTGAACAACTCTGCTTTATTCTGCATTATGTTTTACAAAACAGAGAACCAGTTGAGCGGTTCTTAGCATTCATTTCAAGGCATAATCAATTTGCAGTTTCCATGTTTGAACTTGCTTTAAAAAAGTTAGATTTGAATGGGATCAACATTCAAAATTGCCGTAGCTAGTCATACAACAATGACAGCAAAATGTCTGGAATCTTCTTTGGCTTACAAGTAAGAATTAAAAAGATTAACGTTCTTGCCAAATACATTCCATGTGCTCCTCACTCTTTGAACTTCATAGAAGTAAGTGCCGCGGAATCCAACAGAGCTACTGTTAGTTTCTAAAGTATTCTTCAAAAAATTTATATCTGATGCTTGTTTAGGCATTGAAAAGGATTACAACTTCTATTTACAACTTCTTCTAAGGGTTACAAACTTTGTTTGCAACTTTTATTTACAAAGTAATTAAAGGGATCACAAACTCTCAACACATGTTGTGTTCATTTTAAAGATAATGTTAACAAAAAAGATTTGAACCAAGCTTTTTTGATTAAAAATTAATAATGAATGAAAAAAACTAATGTTGTTGTTTTAGCTCTCCATTTTTTTCAATAACTCATTCAAGTCTTCAAATTATACGTCGCAATCTACAGACTTTGGCAATTCCTTTGAAGCGCATTTAATTCATAAAAGTTTTAGTATTTGACGCCACGGTTGACTTTTAACAAATGAAAAGTGTAATTACACAAAGCTGCGTTTTTCTACTTTAATTCAAAAAGTATGTTTATAGTTGCTCCTATAAAAGTAAAAACAATAAATTATTTTTATTTTTATAGGAGCAACTTACCTTTTACAGATATCTTAATAATTTTTAGATTTTTATCTTATTTATATTTCTATTGTTTTTAAATTAAAACAAATATTAAAACTTTACTTACCTTATGATTTTCATAATTTATTAATTTATATAAATGATTTACTTACCTTATGCTTTTCATATTACTTATCTTACGTTTTTCATACGAGTATTTTACATTATATAGAACTTTTTATATACGGTCTCTTGTTTTTGTGCAAGAGAGCGCAGTATTATATATTCTGACTCTTACCTATTTTTATTTAAACAATGGGAACTATTTTCTAACTTCTCTGGTTATTTTTATGCTATGACACTATTTTGTTTTCCAGTCAAAAAAATGTATTTATTAACAATTACTTTCATAAACTGACAGTATTAATTGGAGATATTTGATGAGTTGTTAACTTTTTTTTTGTTAACTTTTTGTTAACTTTTTGTTAATTTATTATAAAATTTTTTTGTTTACGTTGATTTAATTTAAATTGTTAAATTTGCTGAACTGGATACGGATAAAAAGGAAATAGCATTTTATTTTACATTTGATTTTTGATAATGAAATTTTTAAAATGTAAGCAACTCCATACCAATTAGAACCTGTTAGGGTTATGAAAAAAAAGTACAAGAATACACTAAACAATACAGTTGACAGTAGTACCAGATATGAAAATTCGTGAAAAGAAATGTGAGATCCTGATTTTGCATTAAAAGTACAATTAATAGCAACACAAGTCGGCATTATAAATTTTGATTATAAGTTTACTGTTCAACTAATATTTAACAAAAATATGGACAAATTATTATTAAATAATGCAATAATTAACACATTAATTAATGGCAACAATTCAAGATAGATGGTAATTTAAATTGTCAAAATGTCATAACGCGCATTAAAAAACATATTATATTTGGTATTTCCCAATTTGTGTTGTATTTGGCATTTGTCTCTTAACATGAAAAATTGAAAACTTTTAAAAAACGCAATTAACAAATGCAAATTTTCAAGCAATTTTCTTTTATTAAAAGAAAAGTTTATTCAACGTTTTTTTTTTTATTCGACAAAAAGTTACTATTAAACTTTTATTTCTCTTATCTGAAAATGAACGAGTGATGTAAAAAAAATATATATATTATTCTATACAACTCTTACTCATTCAAAGTTTAATTACGCAAAACTTTTCTTTCTCTTTTGTACTACAGCTTAACAAACATCTTAAAAAGCACACACAAGCACACACAAGCACACACAAGGAACTGGATTTATGAAGCTTTTACAAGACAATACACAAAAGATTTGCCTGACAAAAAATATATTTTTTTTTGTAGCAAAAACAGTTTATATGCTTTAGTAAAACTTCTAAGGCAAACACGTTTTAAGCCAAAAAAATTTTTTATTTCTACCATTGAATGTGCAAAAACTTCCATACCTGGAAACATCAAATATAAATTCTTGATCTTTGAACTTATAACTTTCAACTTGTAACTTTTTTCTTGTATCAAAGGAATATCAATGTAATCTTTGTTACCCATAATTTAACATTAAACATTAAAATTCAATAATAAAAAATTATTATTTAAGTCTCAAAAAAAGAAAAAACAATATGGATATAAAAATAAATATGGATATAAATAATGGAAATAAACAATATGAATATAAAAATCATGGATAAAAAAAAAAAAAAATTACCAAATGTTTGTTCTTTGATAATTGGTTCATCTTCAAGTTCCTTTAAAGTGTTCATTATTTCCATAAAAGTATTACTGTTTGAATGTTCTTTAAACTTCTCTTCTTCAATTGTTTCAACTATCAGATTCTTCTCATCTTCAACTGTCAGATGATTCATAAAATTTTGTTTTTGATTGTTTGGTTGATTAAATTGATGGCTTTTTGTCCCTCTATTAGATGACTAAATGTCAAAAAAAAATATACATTGGAGGGGAGGGGGAAGGAGGGTTTAGCCTTAGAAAAAAAAACTTCAGTGAGAGTTGATACAAAAAAGAAAGAAAATATATATTTTTTAAAAAAGCAGAGAAATTATTAACCTCCAAATTAGTATCTGTCAACCTAGTAACAGATGATGATGTATCAGGTCCGGATAAAGAATGCAATGTTTCAGATCTAGGAACTGGGGAAATATTGGTTTTTGCAATGTATAATGTACTTCCATTATCACATGACAGTTTAATATTTTTATTGTTCTTTGAAGGTGTCAAAAAAGAATTGTTCTTGTTGAGTGTCAAAAAAGAATTGTCGTTGGGCTAAAACAAAAAACGACTTATCTTCATATTATTATTTAAATTTTGGAAAAAAAAATTCTTGAAAAAAAAAAAAATTCTTGTCAAAAATTATTCAAAAACAAATTATTCAGTATTATTGAAAACTAAATAATTAAAATAAAAAATTTATAAAAAAAATTTATAAATTAAAAAAAAAAATTAAAAAAAAATAATAAAAATTAATACAAAACACATATATGCTAAAATCTCTAATATTATTCAACAAAGTTATTGATAAAAATAATTACTTGAGGTTTCATATTACTTCCTTTTGTCAACCTTTTTGCATGCATTTCATCTATAACTTTTTGTCTGGCTAATCGAGCTTTTTCTTCACGTCGTCTTACTTGATCATAATGAACTTTTTTACTGTCATCCTATTGCAGACAAAATATGTTATAAAATATTTTATAAAAATCTTGTTTAATATTTTTTTGCGGATCTTAGCACAATACAAGTATATCATCACGATCATTTCACAATCGCCATTTTTCCGTGTTGTGAGATATTAAAAGAAATCAATCACTATTTTTTCTCTTACAGCACAATAAAACAAACAATAAAACTATTGTCTAATTAATTTAAGATAATATCTTAACTTAATCAGAAATATTTTTTATTTTTTTAATTTGATGCATAAGAAAATTTTTTTTAAATTCTTATAACATTAAAAAACAATGTAACTGTGAAATGATCATGATGATATGAAGAATAATAAAATTTTAGAGTTAGAACAAAATTTGTTTACCAGATTTATAAATGTTGAAAAATATATAAAATTATGTAAAAATGTATAAAATTATAGTTGAATATATAAAATATAGAAATGTTTATTATTTAAAATGCTGCATGATTCAATTGTTTTTAAACAAAATATTTAGTATATTTCAATATAATCTGTGTCCTTAAAAAGTCCTAAAAAATATATTCAAATTTATACTTTTATATACGAAACCAAATATTTATAGATTTATACTTCAGTAAATAGACTAGCCAAATTACTGTGTCAATCAATGTGGGACTCAATGTAAGGTAAACTCAATGGTGTTATGGGGTTGATTTAAAACTTCGTTCAAAAAAAGCCTTAAAAAAAAATGAGCAGAGTCTCAACTTTTGGTCAGTATTTTATCACAAAAAAATTTTTGAAAAAGATTTTGATTGTTCTAAATAATTAAAAATATTTTAAAATATTATCTATACTTGTACACTGTACAATTTTTTTTTGTTCCTACAAAGCTGCAAGCAACCACTGTTATGGGGTTGATTTAAAACTTCGTTCAAAAAAAGCCTTAAAAAAAAATGAGCAGAGTCTCAACTTTTGGTCAGTATTTTATCACAAAAAAATTTTTGAAAAAGATTTTGATTGTTCTAAATAATTAAAAATATTTTAAAATATTATCTATACTTGTACACTGTACAATTTTTTTTTGTTCCTACAAAGCTGCAAGCAACCATTATTCATGTTAAAAACATTAAAACATGTTTTGAATTAGTTAAAACTTTATGATCTAAATAAAGTTAAAATTTTTTTTATAAGTTTGGTACATAAAATTTTTTTTTTAACAAGTGCTTGTAATATGGACACCCCACAAAAAACATACAAAATAGGAAACATAAAGTGGTTGCAGCTTACAAGTCAGAGTTAGGACTAGAAACATCAAGTGGTTGCAGATTGACATTATTTTCTCTTAAAAAAAAAAAAATTCCTGATGTATAGTATAGTAGTATAGCCATATAATAAAAAAATTGAATCTGGTCTGTAGTTTTGAGCTTTAAAATTGAATGTGTTTAAACCACTCAGTAAATATCCAGCTAGTTAGTGATCCAACTCCTTTTGATCTAACAGCTGCCTTACATACTAAATCTGCTCATTTTTCTTTTATGTAAAAATATCAACAAGATTCATCACATCAACATCAAACATCAGCATCAGATACATACCACTTTTTTCTTCACAACTTAAAAAAGCCTGAATGTCATTTGCAATACAATATTGAAGTACAACAGGTCTGATGTCACCTATTGTTAAAATATGTTTTCATGTTAGGAATAATAATTAATACTTTTTCTTGTGTATCACAAAACATATTTTTTTTGACCTAAACATTGGAATATTTTTGTTTGATGCTACATTACTGGATGACATACCTTCTACAACAATATTTTTCACAAAATACTGCGATTCCTGTTTTATTCTGCAATCTTGCTATAAAACATTTTGCTTATTTTATGTGCAATTATTCAAAAACATTCATTAAAAAAAAAATCATTATTTATATTTAATTTAACTTCATTATACTAAAAGTTCTACAACAAAACAATTTATCTTTAAAAATATTTTATTTACCAGAGTTACTAGAACAGTTGTAACATTAGTAGTAGTAATAGTACTCTGTAGTAGTACAGAGTTACTAGTACTGATAGTAACTAGTATAGAGTTACTAGTACTGATAGTAACTAGTATAGAGTTACTAGTACTGATAGTAACTAGAACAGAGTTACTAGTACTGATAGTAACTAGTACAGAGTTACTCGTACTGATAATAACTAGTACAGAGTTACTAGTACTGATAATAACTAGTACAGAGTTACTAGTACTGATAATAACTAGTACAGAGTTACTAGTACTGATAATAACTAGTACAGAGTTACTAGTTAACTAATACAACCAAGTTGATAATAATAAAGAAATTTAAAAAATTAAAATTAGTGAAACACTTGAATCAAATTTAAGTAGTAAACTTTCAAACAAAAATATTTTTCAAAAAAACCCAAAATTATTTTTTTATTTACTAACTAACTTGTAAAACTTAAAAAAATTTAAAATGGTATCTATAATTGAAATAGCATTGAATTTTTTTTAAGCACTAGCATTTTTCAATGGTATATTGTCATTGATGGTAAATACTTTAAATAATGGTATCTTGTCTTTAAACAATGGTATCTTGTCTTCAAATAATGGTATCTACTTTATTTTTAAACAAATCTGATTTTTAAATGGAAAATTAAATGCAGAGGTATCAACATCAATTTAAAATTAAGTTGAATTAATAATCAAAACAAGTTATACAAATTTCAAAAATTGCTTTTTTCAAAACTGCCTGAACCTAAATAAATTTTTTAGTTTTTATTAGATTAAATAGAAGATTCCTATTACAGGGTGGCCAGCCTTTTTAAACATATAGTAATATTAGGATATTTTAGGATTTATTAGGAGGCATAGCCACCCTGTATTAGTTTTCTATTTTCTCTGAAGTATAGTTAATTTCTTATAATTGTAAATTTAAAAAGTTAATGACAGCATTATGAAATGAAAGGTAATTTTTTATGAACAACAATCATTTATTATTATTGAAAAAAAAGTTATATTATAAAATAAAGATTGCCAAAAGTCTTAAACAATTTGTACTTACTTGTTTCTCGAAGTTCATTCTTGTTTCTATTTGAAATTTCTTGCTTCCCATCATCTTCTGTATTTTATCGGCACCTCTATCTCTATCGAGAGAAACTTGTTTCCACCATGACTGAATTTTCTTGGCAGCTTGCTCTTGGATTCTAATAGATGGTGATACATATTTGATTTCACTTATTTCTTCTATTAAATGTGGTTGGTTTGGTATTTTGTTACTTCTATCAGCAATTAGAGAGTTAACTTTTGATACTTCATGCAGCACGGTTTCATCTTTGTTACCTGAATTTTCATTAAAAGATGAACATTGGTTTTTATTATATAAAAATTGTTCTTTATTAGACAATTTATTTTTATTAGTAGAGATTTCAATTTCATCATGCAAATGTCTGTCTTTATTAGTTGAGGGTTGTACCCCATAATGCAATAACCTATCTTTATTTTTACTACTTGGTGTTTTATTATTCTGCAATATTTTTGTTTTTTCTTTTGCTTGTACTTTTATGTCATTTTTTTTTGAAAGTTTATTCGTGTTTATAAAATTTGAAACTTTGTTATGAGACTTGTTATTAGGTTCAGATGCTGAAGGTATTTTATGCTTTTTTGAAGGCAACTTAGTATTCCAACTCGGAAAACTGTCATCGCTGTCAGAAAAATTTTTAGTTATTTCAAAATCATCTTGTGAGGAATCTAGTTTAACTGACTCTACCTGACGATTAGCCTCAACTAGCTCAATAGAAAAGTTTTTTCCATTTTCATTATTTTTACAAGTTTTTGAAGAAGATTCCTTATTTGACTCAATATCAACATTTTTGCAAGTAACTACATTATGTTCAAACATTTCCTTTTTCTTGGAAGCATTTAAAATGGTATTCTGGAAGTTACTATTCTTAACAGAAAGAGTGTTGACTGAACTTACAGAGACTGGTACATCATGAGTTTGAAAATCAAGAAAATCATCAAGTGATGGGCGAGACCATGTTGTATTGGATATTTCACATCTGGGCTAAAATACAAAAAATTAACATTCTTATTTAAAATTATTATTCAGGTATTTATATAGTAATGATCTAGCAAATTAAATTTGTAAAAAATAACAACAAACAAACAAAAATTTAATGATAAAATGTTAAAATATAAAACTTTTTTTTTTGAATAAGGTTTTTTAAATAATATATTATAAATTATTGGATAAGTTTCTTATAATTTCTTTTTTTCACTATCAATTACCAAAACTAATTAACCGATACTATCTATTATGTTTCATTATTAACTCCACCTTACTTCATCCTTACTTCATCCTTACCTCCACCTTACTTCATCCTTACTTCCACCTTTAAATTACAGGGGATATCCAATAATTTTTATTTTTATACTAAAAATACTTTTTATAACAAACGCATTTATATACTAAACTGAAATTTCTCTTAGCAAATTTTTTTCAGTTAAATTTATTATGATAAAGAATTTCGTGCTCATCAAAAATTAATATATATTAATCTATAGTGTTCTAGTTTGATGTTGATGTAGAAAAAAAAAATCATAAAACTGCTAATATTTACTATTTTTTATAAATCTTTTTTATAACGTTACATTGCTTAACAAAAAGTACTGGTTTCCATTAGAGTTAAAATAAATATTAAAAACAAAAATAAATTGCTTTTATAAGGTAAAACTCTTTTTTATAATTTAATAATGATAATTCAGTCTTCTCACAAATATACCATCGATGTACATTTTGCTGCAAATATTCTTAACTGTCAGTCAATTTAAGGACGTTTAAGTATGTCTAACCCCAACGGTCAGTCATGCATGTTTATTACCCAGCACTTATCTCTAATGGTCAGTTAATGAATGCATAATTTTGAATATAGTTTTTTTATTTTTTTTATTTTAATTCACCTCCTCAAGGCCGAGAAGGCCACTACAGACGAGGAGGCTACTTATTTGTGGTTATAACCCTCTCTCAACTCTATAACTCCAAAACACGAACCTTGACGAACAAGGCGGCTGCGCGGAGAAACGAGTTGAGTGCGGTACTACCAGGGACGTGGTGGGGATCGAACTCGGAACCACTCGTTTATAAAGCGAGCGCTCTACCACTACACCACTACCGCAATAAAGCAAAAGATTAACTTGGCAGCATATTATACAATAGCCAAGCAACAATACTGAACATTTTGGACTTAATCAATGGCGGACAATACCGGCAAGCATTTTTCTAGTGCCTTTTGCAAGATATTAGATGCTGTGGCAGAGGAAAAGCAACATAAGCAACTTAGTTACTTGGTCTAACTGTTGCGTCCCTCAAAATCAGAACAGTATAATATCAAATAGTGTGTAACATTACAAAATACTCACTTTCTAGTCATTTATGTGTCCAGAAAGTGGATCATGTGCATAATTAAACTGAAAAACTCACAAGAATAGCTAGTTTTTATAATCCACTTGGATTGATAAGGTTAACAGAAAAAATCCATATCATTATTAACATTCAAATAAATCCACAAGACTTTAAGGACTATTGTTTAACGACAAAGCTATTTAACTTGAAAACAAATGTCATCAATTTCTAAAGTTTTAAATGTTAAACCAAAAATTAAAACTTGAACAATTTGAGGTTGTATTTTCTTTTGTGCTTCTCCAGGACCGAGATTACTAAAAGGTGGTTCTTCACCTATAAAATAACAGAATGCGATGAAAAGCTTTTAGGCCATAATGTAATGGTTACTAAATATAATATAAGAGTCGAATCTTGTTAGATAATATGGTAATTATTGTTTATTTTACTATTTTTCAGTAACAAAATTTAAAAGTAGTTAACTACTTCAATCACAAAATTTTTAAGTAGCTAAAATGTTTTTAACTACTGTTATAAGAATGGTTAGAACTTTGTCATAGTAAATTTCACTATGACAAGATTCTAACTGCATTTGGAGGTATTTATTTTTCAATGAAGAGTTAAACAATTTTAGTTACAAATAGTGGTACTGAAGGCTTATGTTGTCATGGGTGAAAAAGATTATCAATTGATACTAATAAATTTTTATGGTAGGAACAATTTTCGACATTGATTTACTCAAAACTACTCATAGATCAGTTAAAACCTTGTTGACAAGTTGGTTTGAGCCAACGCGACAATTTGTAATTATTTCAAATTTTTCTTGTAGACAAAATATATATTTTTCTCATATATTTTCTTATATTTTTATTATATCTTGTCAAACCAACGCAACAAATTACTATTTCTAATTTGCTTTAATCACTTGTTTTCCAGTCCTTTTTACTACTTTTGCTGTTGTAAAAAGGACTGGAAAACAACACTATGCAGCTAAAATCCAGATAAATGAATTTTCTAGGCTTTACTAATAAATCTCTAAGTGTTGGCGAAATTCAAAAAAATTTATAGGTTGTTTTAAATAAGTTGTGTTGGCATCTCAAACTCAAAAAAAAAAAAAAATTGGTTGTTTAAAAAAATTATTAATCAAAAATAATTACACTCAATAAACATGAAAATAAAAAAGAATTATGCATTTAAACTTTGTACTAAGTAATAATTTAAATTTTAACTAACAAAACCTTTTACTTCAAATGCTTTAGAACAAAAACCCTTTAACTGTTTTAATAAAACTTTTTTTTTTTTTTTGTAATTATTATAAATCATTAAAATAAAAAAATTAATACCGTTTCATCATCTATGGGTGGTTTTAAGGCCCATGCAGGTTTCTTTATTGCTTTCCCATCTTCTCTACAAAAAAATTAAGATTTTGTGAAATCTTTTTAAAAACTTTAAAGATTACTAACTTTTTAAGAATAAGAAGTATGTATATATTTAACAGTAAGAAGTATGTATATATTTAACAGTAAGAAGTATGTTTATATTTAACAGTAAGAAGTATGTATATATTTAACAGTAAGAAGTATGTATATATTTAAAAATAATTATTAAAAGAAAATTATTTCAAGAAATAAACAAGTTTATTGAAATAATAATAAGATTGTGGCATAAAGTGGAGCTGAACAAATGAATATGACTGTGACAACCGAACTATAAGTTTTCATTTTGTTTTCAAATAGATGTTGGAACTGTTTTTTAACGCATTTGTTGTTTATTTAAGTTTATAACTATATCGTAAAGTATGTTCCAAATGTCCAGGACAATCGCAAGATCCTGAATTTTTTGGTGGGTGGATCTAGAATGTAATATTAAGACCTGTGCTTACCTTTAAGTATTGAACGGCATCTGCTTGTGTGCTTCAAGACTTGACCGATTGGATTTAGAGTACGCTAGTTGATCCTAATATTTTTTTTCCCTTTGCAAACGATGGCTCTACTTAACACTTTTTTTTTTAAAAAAAATTATATATAATTCACTCTTGATCAACCGCTGCAAGCAACCACTGCAAGCAACCACTTTTAAGAAGACTTGAAAAGTTTTAAAGTAAGGAAAACATGAAGATAAAAGAGAGTAATAAAGTGCAGTTAAAGTGCGGGGAAAAAAAGTAGACAAATAAAAGTTTTTTAAATAAAAGATTTGATAACTCCACTTGTACTTGTTTGATTACTTTTTCATCAGCAATAGTGATATCATGTGATAGGAACCCATGCCGGGTTGCAATATTCAAGGTGAGGCCTCACAAGCATGCTATAAAGTGTTTTAAACATTGAAGAATTTTAGTATCAAGGTTTACCTTTAGTATCAAGGTTAACCCTAGTTTAGTATCAAGGTTAACCCTAACCCTGAACAGATCCTTGAGGATCAATTCTTGGTCTGACTCCCCACTCAAAACCTTTAGAGTAAGTTTTCGTCAACAAGTTCTTTTGGTTACAACTTTGATTTTGGTCCGAAAGGAAGAGTGTATATAATAATAAATAAATAATAAAATAAAATGAAATAATGATGACATAAAATCATAAATAAATATTATATAACAAAAAATGGCTAGCATTTCTTATTATCCTTGTTATTACTACCATTTCCTGTAGCCTAAATCATATCAGTCATTATTGCAATAAAACGGACTTCCCAACAGAAAAGCCAACCACTCACACTCCTCCCAAAATTAGGCAACATAAATTTTAGAATTAGAAATATGGATATAGAGACAAACAGAAAAAGTATACAGAATTAATATAACAAATACAAACAATAATATATATAGTAATAAACAATAAAATATAGTACAAACACATTAAGATGTAAAGATCACATAGTACAATATTATTCACTATATAATAAATAAAGAAAAAGAAAATTTAGATAAGTATTAGTCATTTTTGATAAGTTATAAAAAAATTTTAAAGTGGAAAACTAGTCATAGTAGCTGACAGATGTAAAACTGAAAACAAAACCGCTGTAAAAAAAACAATAAGATCTTAATTGAATAGAACTATATTCCGAATAAAATAACTAGACAATTCAATTGTAGTATAGGGTTAAGCCTATAAAACGGTCAAAATGTGCTACAAATCTAAGCCACTAAACATCACTATCCTGATTCTTTATGTAACTATTGGGTATGATTTGTCATTGCTGTGTTGACTATGTCAAGTCTAGTCCAATCAGAGGCCAGTTACAAGAGTGAATTAAAACCAAAACAATCTGGGAAGTGCCAGTCATGTATCAAAGAGCCCACGATGGGTTAGATACTTATTCATGGAGAATCTCTGACATAAGACATCACTAGAAAATGCCCTGGATTAGGGTCAGTCCCGTAAGGGATCAGTGTAGAGAGCTGTTTGACAATGTAGTCATACCGATAAGGATGATAAAAGCATCACAAAATATATGAAAAAATATGTATCTAAATATAAAAAGAAGAAATTAATTAGGTGATAAGTTAAAAAAATATATAATCTAAATAAATTATTGAAAAGGAAGGAGTCACTGCAGAAACCTGACCAAAGAAGTGACACCAAATATTAATAATATTAATTTAAAAAATAATATAAATAACAATAATAACTTTATTCATTAAGAGAGCAAAAATAACAGCAAAAATAATAGTTTTTAAAACAACTATAATAATAGTAATAATAAAAATAGCAGTAATAAAAATAATAAATAATAATGACAAATACAATAAAGTTTCCATAAAAATAGTAAGAAGAAAAAGAAAAATAAGAAAACTAAAAGAAGTTAATAATGAAAAAAATTTTTTATTTAGAATTTGTTTAAATTTATTTTAAAGTTTTAACCTTTCAAACTCATTCACAATGCACACAAGACTTCACTGACACTGATTTGTAATTGAATACTTCGATTCCATTCACTGATGCACTGATGAGTAATTGAATACTTACCATACCTTAAAGTTTTATAGGGAAGTTCATTTAATTTTCAATTATTGATGTTTTTGGTTAAATGTGAGTGTATAAATCAAGTTTCTGTGATGAAAGTTGTAATAGAGGCAGGTAAACTTTTATTAAGGGAGTCAAAAACAAAAAGAAGATTAGCAAATCTAACTAGTGCTGACAAGGTAGAAACTTCAGGTTTTTTAAAGAAATTTGAAGTTTCTGTATAATGGGATTGAAAATTTGTTATTTGAATTGATTGGCGCTGAGCTGATAACAATTTATTAGTACTACAGTTGCCTATTTGTCCCCACACCTGAAAGCATTAGTTGAGATGAGACTGAAAAATTGTAAAATACATATTCTTAAGGGTAGTTTTATCAACATAATGGCAAATTATTAAAAGCATGCCATTAGCTAGATTAAGTTTTTTTACAGAGTGCATCTATATGAAAACTCCAATAAGAGGTTCGAATCTATAAAAGTACCAAGATATTTAACAACATGTGTTGGATATAAACGCCTATTATTAATTTTAATTATATTTGAATTGATTGTTGTATAAAAGTTTTTGTCTTGGAATAAACCTTTTAGATCTAAATTTATATTCTTATGCAAGGAATGATAAGACTTATTCATATGCAAAATATTAGTATCATCAACAAAAAAAATGAACTGATGAGAAGTGGACAGAGATCATTAACATAATTTAGATCATTAACATAAATAAAAAAACAATAGAGGGCCAAGAACAGAACCCTGAAGAATACCACAAACTATATGCTTGCTATTTGATTTGTAACCATTAATGCTAACAAACTGCTTCTAATTTGAGAGATAAGATTGAAAGCAATTACAAGCAACTCCTTGGGTTCTGTAATATTTAAGTTTAGAAATTAAAATGGTAGAATTAACGTTATTAAAAGCTTTGTAAGTCAATAAAAACACCACCAACAAAAAGACCAATACCCAGTGCCTTTTTTATTTTTTTGGTTATACTTATTAAAGCGTGGCAAGTAGAGTGGTTTGAGCAAAATCCAAACTGAAATTCATTTAAACAGTTAAAGAAAGTCATAAATGAGTATAATCTAGAATACATTAGTTTTTCAAGGAGCTTGCTAATGCTAGATAGAATTGAAATTGGTCTATAGTTAGTACATAAGAGTTTTGAGCCATTTTTATATACTGGAATGACACAAGATAATTTCAAAATGTCAGGAAAAATTCCATTTAAGGAGATATTAAAAAGCTTAGAGAAAATATGAGAAAATTCAGAATTAAAATCAATAAAAATGTTTGTGGGTATGCTGTTAGGACCTATTGATTTTCTAGGTTTCAATTTAGATTAAGTGTTGAGATTTCAAAATGTTGCAGATATCAGTTTCTACACACTCACCCTTAGGTGCTTCTGATTATGGTTTGGTCTCTCTAAAACTATTATCTCATTCTTCTTTACCATCAGAATCCCCCTATCATCCTACATCTTACAACTACCTTAAAGCTGACTGGGACTTTTTCCGTGATTTTCTTCGTGATGGCCCCTGGGTAGAAATCTTTCGTGTCCCTGTTGACAAATGTGCTTCTTACATAATTTCATGGACTCAGGCTGGCATGAAATCCTTTATTCCCTCTAGACGATTCCAGGTCAAGCCTCACTCTTCTCCATGGTTTTTTTCACATTGTGCTGCTGCAATAGCAATCAAAACCATTACTTCCATATCTATCAGCAAAACAATTCTCCAGAAAACAGACGTCTGTTTATTACTGCTAGGAACCATTGTAAAAAGGTTTTGTCTAATGCCAAAGCCCGCTATTCTCAGATCATGAAATCTCGTATTTTATCACAAAAATTAGGCTCTCGTGACTTCTGGAGAATCTTTAATAGTATCAATAATAAGGGCAAGTCTGTAATTCCAACACTTTTGTATGGTTCAGACTATGTCAACTCACCTAAAGACAAAGCTGAATTGTTTGCCAAGAACTTTTCATCAATATCATCTCTTGATGCCACTAGTTGCGTTCTACCTGATATAGCCGTCAAACAGGTTGATCCATTGCTCAACATTTGTATCACTCCAGCTTCTGTATCTAAAGTGATTTCCTGCTTAGACTCTTCTACAGCTTGCGGCCTGGACAACATACCTGCTATAGTCTTGCAGAAGTGTTCTCAGGAGCTGTCATCTATCCTTTCAAAACTATTTAAGAAGTGCTTATCAGAGTCTTGTTTTCCAGCCTGCTGGAAAGCAGCATCTGTTATCTCTTTTTTTAAAAATTCTGGAGAGCGATCTAATTCGTCTAACTACCGTCCCATTAGTCTTCTTCCTATCATAAGCAAGGTTTTTGAATCTTTAATTAACAAACACTTAATCTCGAATCTCATAAACTAGTTTCTGATCATCAATATGGATTTCGATCTTTTCGTTCTACGGCTGATTTGCTGTCAGTAATAATTGA